TTCTTCAATAGTAATGTCGCTACATCCCCCAGAATATTTTACTGTGGCCGCCTACTGGATGTGTTTCCACCATTGGTTCTTTCAGAAGCTTGAGGGCAAAGAGGATCACAGACCATTTCCTGTTCTATTCTACACCACCAATCCAATAATCTTGGTTTATAGCTCTACTAGCAGTAAAGCCCGTTGTGAAAGCAATACAACGGGATCTAGAAAGAGGCTCTGGGGCAGTGCTCTGGCTTTGGGCAAACAGTGTCAATTTGCTGTGGTGACCTCAGCAGGGTATAATGACAGAGTCCACTGTTTTCTCCAGAGGAACTGATCTCTGCTACCTGAAGAGCAGTTGTAATTGTGAGTAATCTGTAGCCCTCACGTGGAGATTTGCAACAATTGTTACCCAGGACGAAATGGCTGGTTTGGAGGGTGGAGTCTATGGCATTCTACCTGTCTGAGGTTGTCTTCCGAGTGGCAGTTTTTTCGGCCTAACACTAAAGGGGCCAATTTTAGAACTTTGGCACCCACTATTCTTTTATTATAAGGGAGAGATTATTAGGAGGGACTGAGCCTTTCATGAGGCCACCTCCTTTAGCCAGATGTCTCTGCAAGTCCAGGAGGATCTACTTACCAGTCTTCTTCCTCCATCTGTAGATGGATCTGGGAAAGTCTTGTGCTTCTCTGTTTTTTGCTGCTTCTCCTTCTCTCTCCCTCCCTCCCTCCTCTGTTCCCTCCTCTTCTCTCTCCCCAGTTGTATCAATCTTTTTTTTCCCCATTCTTAACTACTGTGGGCACTACAAGCTCAGGCCAATGGCCTTATTTAGTCCTCCTCAGTGAGAGATGGCATCACATTTTAAAATCCGCTGCCTTTGCATGAGACAAAGTTTATTGGGGGGCGACTTTAAGAACATGGCAGATTTGCCTTCTCTGAGAGCACTTCTGGTTGGGAGAACTCACAACCTGTGAGTAGGACGTTGTCTGTGACAATCGGGGAGGGGCAGTGACTCAGTGTTAGAGCACCTGCTTGGCATGCAGAAGATCCCAGGTTCAATCCCCGGCATACCCACTTTGAAAGATCTGGTAGAAGGTGATAGGATCATAAGAACATGAGCCCTGCTGGATCAGACCAGTGGTCCATCTAGTCCAGCATCCTGTCTCTCACAGTGGCCAACCAGTTCCTCTGGACAGCCAACAAGAGGGCATAGAGGCCAAGGCCTTCCCCGATGTTGCCTCCTGGCTCTGGGATTTATAGTTTAAGTGCCTCTGAATGTGGAGGTTCCCCTCAGTCACCACGGCCAGTGATAGACCTATCCACCATGAATCTATCTAATCCCCTTTTATAGCTGTTTATTCCTACGGCTATCGCTACACCCTCTGGCAGCAAATTCCACATTTTCCGACTTTAAGAACGTGGCAGATGTGCATATGTGTATTTCCCTGCGTTTGTGTATTCAGGAAGTGCCCTCCCTGTAAGACTATTATTCCATTTCGGGAGAGCCCTGAAAGTAACCATATTGTGCAGTGATAAATGACCTTCTTCAATTCCGAGAGGTAGCTGGGCAAACATTTTTTCTCTCCCCTTTTTAAGTTGGTTGATCTTGATCAGTGTTCGCTCCTTGACATTTTCCACTAACATGAGAACTGTCAAAGCTTTGATCGATGAACTGAAAAGGTTCCCCGCTTGACTGTAGCCCCTCTAAGCGCCTGCTAAAAGCTGCCTTTGACAGGCTCTTGGGACAGAGGCGCTCGGTTAAGACTTACACGAGGCCTGCACGATTTGTGACCCACCCTGTCCATGCGCAGTGGCCCGCCAGGACCTCAATAACCGTTTCGTGTTTCTGCTGCCTGCCACACAAAAGAGGTTATCAAGCACCTGGCAGGCCGTGGCATATGGTCACTGAGCTGCAATCGATACGGCGTCTCACAAGTGATGCAGACGTGACGTGGGCAGTCAGAGGACTGAAGAGCCCACCTAGACTGGGAAAACAGAGAAGTTCAGATACGGGGTTGCATTGGTCTTTCCGGAATCCATTTAACGTGAGAGCTCTGTTCTGATGGAACATTGAACACAGAGACAACCTGTGTGTGTGTGTGCATATACCTGTTTGTAGGAAAGAGCCAACATGTGTTCATTCTGCATATGAAACTGGGATGTGGGGGGGGGGGTTAAATCACATGTTCAAGCTGTGCATGCATTGTACATGCAGGTGGGTCGCCGTGTTGGTCTGAAGCAACAGAACAAAGATCGAGTCCAGTGGCACCTTTAAGACCAGCACAGGGTATAAGCTTTCGTGTGGTATCTGATAAAGTGTGCCTGCACACGAAAGCTTATACCCAGAACTAAAATTTATTGGTCCTAAAGGTGACAATGGACTCGAACTTCGTTTTAATCCATTGTACATGTAAGACGAGAAGAGAAGAGAAGAAGAGATTGGGGGGCCCTTCACTACCCAAAGAAGTCTCAGAGCAGCTTACAGTCCCTTCCCCTCCTCTCAACAGACACCCTGTGAGGTCGGTGGGGCTGAGAGAGCTCTCTCGAGAACTGCTCGTGAGAGAACA